CTGTGTTTGACTCTGCTGATATGGCAAGTCCAGGTTAATTCAACTTAGTTCAACTTCATTATATGCAAGTATAATTCATTTATTCCATATAATGAGTCTAAGTTACTTGTCGTGTTTCACTTAGAAACATAGCCAATTTAGTTCAACTGTATTATATGCAAGTATAATTCAACTCTGTCATATAATAAGTCTAAGTTACTCGTCATGTTTCACTTAGAAACATTGCCAACTTAGTTCAACTCTATTATATGCAAGTACAATTCAACTCTGCTATATAATAAGTCTAAATTATTCGTCATGTTTCACTTAGAAACATCGCCAAGTGACTGGTCAGTCGTATTACACAAGTTTTGAAATTAAAAATCGAGCCAAAATTTTATTTATTACTTCGGCTAATAACAAAAAATTTTAAAAAACAAAAAATCTAATGATAAAAAACCTTCAGGTTGCAAGTATTCCAAGGTCTTGGCAACTCTTTGTCTTCACTGTCTTCAAGTCGATATGCCCCATTGCCCAGGACTGAGATGATTCTATAAGGACCCTTCCAATTTGGCCCAAACTTTCCCTCTCTGGGATCCTTCTTGTTGCCGACAACCTTTCTCAGAACGAGGTCTCCGACTTGAAACTTTCGTGGGTTGACCTTCTTATTGTAAGCCCTAACAAGTTGTTTCTAGTATGCCCCTAGCTGAATTGCTGCTTTCTCCATTTTTTCTTCTAACAGATCCAGATCTCAGGCCAATAATGCCTCGTTGGTCCCATTTTATACTCCTTGGGTTCTGATCCCTGGGATGTCGACTTCCAGTGGAATAACTGCTTCTGTGCCATAAGCCATGGCGAATGAGGACTCCCCAGTTGATCTTCTCGGCGTAGTCCGATATGCCCAGAGTACATTAGGCAGTTTATCCACCCACTTTCCCGTTGCTGCTTCCAGCCTCTTCTTAATCCCATCCAAGATAGTTTTGTTGGATGCTTTTGCTTGTCCATTGCTTTGAGGGAAGCTTGGAGTGGAAGAATAGTTCTTGATTTTGTACTTTGCACAGAAGTTCTTGATTAGCTTACTGTCAAACTGTGTACCATTGTCTTCTATTATCGCCCTTGGGATCCTAAACCTGGTGATGATGTTCTTTCATATGAAGTTCTTTACATCAATGTCCTGAATCTTTGCAAAGGGTTCAGCTTCTACCCACTTGGTGAAGTAATCTGTTGCCACTAGCAGGAACTTGCTTTGTCCAGTCGCTTGAGGCAGTTGTCCAACAAGATCCATGCCTCATTGAGCAAATGGCCAAGGACTAGACACTAGGTTCGAATCCAGTGCTGGTTGGTGTATCAATGGTGCAAATCTCTGACATTTCTCACACTTTCTGACATAAGCTTCAGTATCTTTTTGCATATAGGGCCACCAGTACCCCTGAGTAATGGCCTTATGAGCAAGTGACTTGCCTCCAGTGTGGCTTCCACATACTCCTTCATGTATTTCATACAGGAAGTCTTCAACTTGTGAAGGATGTACACACCTCAAAAGGGGACTAGTAAAAGATCTTTTGTAGAGATGTCTTTCTACTGTTAGACTGAATCTTGCTGACTTCAGTCTGATCTTGTGTACTTCTTTATGATCATCTGGCAGTTTCCCATCTCTAAGGAATTCTATTATCGCATCCATCCAACTTGGTCCCATCTCCACACACATTGCCTCATACTTTGTGTTTAGTGGTTCTACACTTGGACTTGACAAATAGTCAACCATTATTGTCCTTGCTCCTCCTGGTTTCATTGCATTAGCTAGGTTGGCCAGGGCATCAACATGGTTGTTGTCATCTCGGCTAACTTGCTGTAGTCATCAATTTTGGAATAATGCTACCAGTTTGCCCATCTCCTTTACATAAGCCATCATCCTTTCATCTCAGGTTGCGTATTCGCCTGTGGCCTGGTTGACGATAAGCTGAGAGTCACAGAAGACCCTCACCTCATTGGCTTCCATTGCTGCTACCAACTTTAATCCTGCGATCGGCGCTTCATGCTCTGCTTCGTTGTTTGAGGCCTTAAACCCCAAATGAATGGATTGTTCTAGCATCTGCCCATCCGGCGATACTAGCACTACTCCTGCCTCCGCTTCTTGTCAGTTTGAACTTCCATCAACAAACAGGCGGAAGAAGTCGCTGAAGTAAATACTGTGGGCTTGAGTTTCTCTTCTTTCCTCTGTTCTGCTATCCCCAGCTGGGTTTCTCCTTGTTCACCTGGACATCGTATACCACAGCTTGATGGAGCTCGATGTATAATGGCGCCTGGTGTGAACTCGGCCATGAAGTTGGCCAAAACCTGGCCTTTGATTGCTGTTCTGGATCTGAATTTTAGGACGTATTGGCCCAACACCATTGCCCATCTGGCTATCCTGCCTGTCAAATCCCCTTGCTGCAATAAGGCCTTCAAAGGATGCTCAGTTAATAACACAATCTTGTGGGCTTGAAAGTAGTGATTCAGTTTCTTGGAAGCTATTATTAAGGTCAGTGTCAGTTTCTCTAAAGGTAAGTATCTAGTCTTTGCTTCTGCTAGGATTTTACTCACGTCGTAAACTGCCCTTTGTTCTCCATTTTCTTCTCTGATTACCACTGCACTCACTACATGCTTTGAAACCGCCAAGTATAAGAATAGCTCCTCTCCAGGTATTAGATTTGAGAGAACTGGAGCGGTGGTCTAGTATTTCTTCAAGTTGGCCAAGGCGGCTTCGCACTCTTCTGTCCATAAGAAGTCTGTGGCTTTCTTCACTAAATTAAAGAAAGGTTTGCATTTGTCAGAACTTCTGCTTATGAATCTATTTAGGGCTGCAGCCCTTCCAATTAACATTTGCACTTGTTTTGCCGACGTTGGGCTCTTCAACTCTAAGATGGCCTTGATCTGATCCGAGCTTGCCTCAATGCCCTTTCTGGTGACCAAGTATCCCAGGAACTTTCTAGACCCAACTCCAAATGTGCACTTCGGCACATTGAATCGAAGCCGAAATGTCCTCAGGATATCGAAGACTGCTTTTAGGTCATCCAGATGATTCTCAGGTTCCTTGGTCTTCACGACCATGTCATCAATGTATACCTCCACTCTTTTGCTTATTAGATGTCTGAACATCTTAGTCACCAATCTCTGGTAAGTTGCTCCTGCATTTTTTAACCCAAAAGGCATCACTCTGCAGCAATACAGCCCTTTCGGGGTGATAAATGCAATCTTCTCCTCATCTGGGAGGTACATGGCGATCTGATGGTACCCTCTGTAAGCGTCCAGGAAGCTCATCCTTCCATGTCTTGAGGTGGCATCCACCAATTGGTCAATTTTGGGGAGTGGGAAACTGTCTTTGGAACAAGCCTTGTTCAGGCTGGTGAAATCCACATAGACCCTCCACTTTCCATTCTTTTTCTTCACAACAACCGTGTTTGATAACCATGTTGGGTAGTTTACCTCTCGAATGGCTCTAGCTTCCAGAAGTTTATCTACTTCCTCTTCTACTGCCTCAACATGCATCAACGTAGGCCTCCTTGCTCGCTGGATGACAGGTTTGGCCGACCTGTCCTCATTCAGTCTATGGCAAGTGACCTCGGGGTCAATGCCAGGCATCTCATATGGTGTCCAGGCAAACACCTCAAGGTTTGTTCTCAAGAATGCCTCTAATTCCTTTTCCTCTTCCTTGGCTAAGCCTGAGCCGAGAAGGAAGAAGTGCTCTTTATCCGCTTGCTGGACTAAGATTTTCTTCAGGGCTTCCTCACTTTTCTCGGTTGGTTCTTTGCTGACGTCCTCAAGGACCTCCATGTCCTCATCCTTAATCTCTACTGCTTCTACTTCTCGTATGTTGCAGGTGGGTTTCATTATTACCATGCGGCAATTCTTTGTCTGCACTTGATCCCCTCTAACCTTCTTAATTCCATGCTCTGTTGGGAGCCGCAACAGCTGGTGCAGTGTTGACGGAACAACGCCCATTGAATACAGTCATGGCCTTCCCAGGATAACATTGTAAGGGGAGGGGGTGTCAATTGTTATGAACTCCGTGTTTACCTTCTTGGTGTTAGCCTGCACCTCTAAACTTATTGCTTCCAGGGGCTATGTTGGAGTTCCATTGAACCCAACCATTGGACTATTGGACTGCTCCAGATCATCTTGGTGAAAGCTAAGCTCCTTGTAACACCTGACATACATGATGTCACAAGAGCTGCCCTGGTCAATTAAGATGCGCTTTACCTGGCACTCTCCAATTTTGAGGGATATTACCAGGGCGTTGTTGTGTGGATGCTGCATCATGTCTAGATCGTCTTCAGTAAAGGACACCATTGGTTCCTGGTGCTCATCTATTTAGGTCTTTTCTGCCAGACCTGATACACATGTTGCAAGTGTTTTACTTTCTAAGTCTTTCCACGTATCTCGTTCTCATTGACCTTCGAGTGAATTACATTGATCACTCAAGGTCCGACTGCCTGCAGTTGTGGTGCTGGGGGGGTGGTGCTGCTGGTGCCTGAGGCAGTCTCGCTTGTTCCTCCTTCGTCCTGGCCTCATCTACTAGGTCCCTTAAATGACCTTGTCTTACCAGGTCTTCCAGATGTGTTTTTAGGGCTCTGCACCCCTGAGTTAGATGACCATCCTCATTATGGTAGGTGCAGTGCACCCTTTTTCAGCTCATTTTCTACCTAGAACCAATGCAAACTAAAAATGCATCGATAGGTAATCTGTCTGATCTAATGCATGTATTATTCTTTTGGTTTATTCTGCAGAATTTTACAATACCTCTACAATTTTAATTTTTTTCTTGGGGGCAGTGTTTTTTTTTTGGGCTTGCCATGCCATTTATCACTTCCTTTACAATGTAACAAGCAACCTGAAAAAAACCACACAAAAACAAAACAAAACAAAACAAAACAAAACAAAACAAAGAAAGAAAGAAATAAAGAAAAAGATGCACACAAAAGAACATGCTCTTTAATCTTTATGATGACTACAATTTAACATGTCTAACATTTTATAATTTTTCAATTTCTCTTCACAAATCGCCCCTGCAAAAAAATGAAGAAATGATATTGAAAAGAAAAACACTATTAAAATCATTTGCAATAGCTAAAACATTTAAACATGATAGATTGATTACATATATATATATATATATAATGTTTATTTACCTTCATACAAGGACGCTTCTTTGCATTGATCTTTCGAACTTCATAACGGATACGTTTGGAGAAAAGCCTGTTTTGCCTCTTCTCCTTGTACCTCAACACACTAGCTTCTCTTTTCCCTAACTTCCACTCCTCTCCTCCTCCACCTTGAAATACTGCTTCCTTTTTTACTTTGATATTATTGCCACCATCACCACAGCCATTTCTAATGTTATATTCTGGAACTGTCCACAACCCTCCATTATTTCCCCAACCATCCTTCAACCCCTATAATTCTTTTAATTTTCCTCCAAAGATCAAAATGGCGGTACATATAATAGCTTTACACATTCACCAAAACATGAGCATTATTAGACAAGTTTAATACAAATTTTAATGAAACAATTAAAGCAAGACTGTCTCTGTAATCAGTGGGTTAGTAAATCATCTAAAGCCGCTACATGTATATATACATATATATTTTAGGGGGAAACTGCAATATTTCATGATTTTCAAAAATCATGGATTTTCAAAATAAGTACTAAATAATATATTTAGAAATGCTTTAAACAGAGACATTACAGGAAATGTTCTCTTACAGAGTACATCAGATCAAAATACAAAATGAGGGCATTGATATACAGATTCCATTCTAAACCTAATTCAATCAAATACCTATAAAACTTACTTCGATTTCACATCAGTAGGTTAATAACTTCATATAGCTTATCGACAGTCGCATTTCGAACAGCAAAATCATATGGATATCAAAGACAGATCGAAGAAAACCAGATTAATAATAAAAAAACATAGATCCAAAACATACGAGAGAATTAATTTGAGCAAGAGACAAATAGAGAACTATAAGTTTTTTTAGTCGAATCTTCACCTGGTCTCGCACATCAGCAGCAAACGGCGGAAACCCGACGATCAACAAATGTCTATGTAGATGTGCGATTGTAAGGAGGAGAGAACTACAAATTATGAGAGAAGGCTGTGCAAGATGGAAAATCGGGGAGAGTGATGAGGGGGCTGTTACTTATCTTGGAAAAAAAAAGAGGGAATTTTGAGAGGGAACATTCACTCCGCCTCAAAAATTTCTAGAGGCAGATCAACAAAAAAAATAAAAATAAAAATAAAAATAAAAACAATAACAAACAATTTTTAGATTTTTTTTTTGGAAAAAATTAAAATTAATTTGAGAACAGTAAAAATCAAAAATATATTTTTAAAATTTTAAAAATTATTTATGACCTCCCAAAACATAAAATTATACAAAAATAATAAATATTTTTTTTATTTTTTCACCAAAATGTTTTTTTAAGTTTTTAGAAGAAAAAAATTCTGAAACAAATTTCTGAAAATAAAACCAAATATATTGAAATTGATAATCTAACCACATTCTTTAGAGAAGTTTAGATTATCTCAAATTAGCCATCTCAACTTAAGAGTATGTTTGGGTTTGATGGGTTCATTTTGTGATTTAATTCGATGATCACTTTAATTTTAGAATTCAATAACTAGAATATTTAAAACTCTTTGAAAAATTATAAAAAAAACACAAATCATTAAATCACCTCGTTTCACTAGCAAAACTTTTATCGACGAATAGTGTTATCGTCGCTAAATGTTTAACTCTTTACCCACGCCAACTTGCTGTCGCCAAAAGTAAACACACTAATAGCAATGTTTATTGTGTTGCTAAAAAATAAGTCTCGTAGCTAAATTTTTTGAAATTTTGGCACTTAGTGAATGTTATACTTTTTTAGCGACGATAGTAAATTGCGTAGGTAAATGTCTAACTTTACCAACGAAATTCATCATTGTGTCGCCAAAAATATACTTTTGGCTATGAAAAATTGACATCGTCGCCAAAAGTGCAATTTCTTAGTGGAAAGAACCAGAGAAATTCTGAATTTGAGAATGATTGATTTGAGATCCAGTTGATCCATATGATCGACCTCCTCGTCCTCCTCTGGAAGATCTTCCTCTAGATCCAAAACCTCGGTAGGTGTAATTCGAAGAACCTCGAACATAAGAGAAGGCCACAGTAGGCTCAGTATGATCTTTGTGATGTTTGGACTCAATATGCATGGCTTCAGAGAGAAGCAGAGAACTCAGTTCATTCATTGAAATGGATTCGGAACGAGCTCGAATTGTTGTCTTGAATGCATCATATTCTTCTGGAAGTTCGTTCAAGATCAGAAGCACATGATCTTCACCATCAATGAATGCAGAGGCAAGAGCTAATTGACTAACTAACTCCTTGATTTTTGTGAGATATGCCTCCATGGAATCATTTTTCTTAGTAACACTGTTCAGTTTATTTTTGAGTTGATGCACATGAGATCAAGAAAGTGCAGTAAAATGTTCGTGCAATGCACTCCAGAGCTCAGAACAACTATGAAGATGAAGAGTTGTGGAATACATTGCAGGTGATAAAGTTGCCGTTATACAACTAAGAAGATGTGCATCTACGAGTTTCCATTGGAAATAGGCAGGATTATCAACATCTGATCCATAAGCATCTTTGATTGTCATGGATGGACAAGGTGAAGTACCATCAACAATTCCAAGCAAATCAATAGCTTTCAAAATATTCTGAGTTTGATTTTTCCAAATCAAAAAATTTGAAGCATCAAGTTTGATAGTGATAAACGAAGACAGATTGGAAATTAAAAAGAAAGATTATAAGGAATCGAAGACATCGAATAAGAAGATGAACTGGATTCAAACACAGATGAGGATAAACTCGCAAGAGATTGAAGCTCTGATACCATGTGGAAAGTTAGAATTCAACACAGAGATTTAAGATTTAGATATTTTCATTGATAGCTCTCTCTCACACTTTTCAACTCTCTTAGGATAGTATCTATATATAGAAGCCTAATACATTTTTCTAGAATCTCTAACAAATTTGCATATCTCAAGTTAGTTATAACTAAGAGATGAACTAGTCTCATATCTTTCAGCACACGTGGAATCCATAATTGCTTTTTCAACTGTGGCTCAAGGTGTGGCTTGCTTTTGCAATTGTGGCTGAAGTGTGGTTTGAGCTGAAGTTGAAGCTGAGACTGCAGCTGAACTTTGTTCGGTCATTGGCTCAGTAGTCTCAACACATGCACATTGTAATGAGTTTTATTCCTCTTGTATTTATTTAGAATTTCTCTCATTTAATTATTTTTTTATTTTTTATTTTGGTAATAATGATATGTTGTATTTCATTTTCTGTTTACCAAAAAAAATAATCTCAAATTTCTACTGACATAACAAGATCGTGTGATTAAGATTGAATTCATTTAATATGAGATTATACGTAGAATAAATTCAAACCACAAGTTAATAATTCTAAATAAATTTTGAAAAGGATTTTTGGTTTTTTTTTGGCTAAAATAGCATTCAAAGATAAAATATGCTAACATAACTAATAAGACAAAATGTCATATCAAATTCATAATTATTTCATTTTTTCTCTCACAAACATCATATTCAACTATAAAAAAATCTCACCCTCTCCTCAAACATAATTATTTTAACCTATTAAAATAGTCAATATTTAAAATAACCTATTAAAATAGCCAACTTCTCAAATGTGAAGGCTCCATTAGGGTTGTTTTGGAAATATAGTTAAACAAAAATGGTAGACACCTCAAAAATTTTATCAAATGTCTCACATGGGTGTGAGATCCACAAGGGACACACATTGTATGGGTTCCACACTCATGTGAGACATTTGGTAGAAACTTTGGTATAATTTTTGGGATCTCTAGCATTACTCATAGTTAAAAGTTAACTTTTTGATTCTTTTTTTTCAAAAAAAACGTGTAAAAAATATTAAAAATAATATGACCTAAAATGAATTAAAAGTTAAAAAATAATTTTTAACCATCCTTTTAAAATAGCCGTAGAAAGCTACTGTTGGGGATTACACATTAATATCATGCGTGCCAACCACCAACATATATAAACTCATAACACTGTATTTTGTAAGAGTGTTCACACTAGCCTCTATAAATTAAAATTTTTAATTAAATATAGTTAGCAAATCATGAAACAATGCTCCATCTGACTCAAAAATCTAATTTACTGGCAATTGAATAGTTTATCTTGGGGGGGGGGAGATAAATTTTATCTCCACTATTTTGACTTTTTTGAGTATTTTTCATTGAGGGAATGAATGACAAAATAGAATTAGAATAGAGAGTCTAATGAATGATACACTTAAAACAGTAATTAATTAAAATAAGAAATTAGTTTTTTTAAATTAGAATTTGGCTCGAAATTTGTTGAAACTGATGTGAATGTTCTAATTAATCATAGAGATGAAAGTTGTTAGATATTAAAAGAATTTTTTTTTCCTCACACATTAGAGCATCTCCAATGGCAAGCTATTGGAGCTGCCATTGCTAAAATTTAGCAATAGTCTCTAAAAATCTCACTGTAGTGGGCTACTATAACCCTTGTTAAATTTGACAATTGCCATTTTCTCTATCAAATTTGGCAACACGTTTGGCAATCATCATCCAAGTAAATAGAATTTGGCTCCAAAATTTCTATGGAACAAACAAACACATTGGGAAAAATCCAGCAGCAATACAATAATAATAAAAAATACTATTTTCTAGATTTTTGGAGATGGAGATAGAGGCAACATTACCCCCCCTCAAAAAAACAAAACAAACACACATATATATATATATATATATATATAACAAATTTAGAAAACAAATACAACAATCACTACAAAGACAATAATCAAACAATTTCAGAGAAATTTCAAGCAATCTCAAACAAAGCAAAAAGAATCTCAACTAATTTCAAGAAAATTTGAAAAAATTTCATAAATGAAATTTCACAAGAATAAATACTTGGAAAGGGGTTTGAAGTTTCTTCGTTTCTTCACTCAATTTTGTAGTGGTATCAAATGGTGGGGTAAATTATATATATATACATATATTAATATTTTTAATTTTTTATATTTGTCTAGTCAGATAGAATGTAAATATTTAATTTTTTTTAGAAAAAATTTGAAAAAGGTCATAAAAGATAAAAAAAAAGTTAAACAATAAAAAAATCATTAAAAAACACATAACCTAAAATCCTATTCAAGACTCATAAAAAATTTTAAAAAAATTCTGGAAATATTTTTGATTTAAAATATAAAAATAACAGGTGTAAACAAAAAAAAAATCGAACACTGTTTCGATCAACCAGCCGGACGTCCGGGTTAGCCAAATTTTCCCGTCTTGAAAAGAGTTTTCAAAAGTGGGTGTAGAATTATAATTTGAAAATTCAAAACAAATACTACACTGAAATCAATGGGTGGAAATGTGTTTGGAGAGCTTCTCCAAACGCCTTGATCAACTGCCAAATTTTTTGTCAAATTAAGGATGAACCAAATCTTTCACTAAATTTTCAATAAGCTTTTTTCTTTTAAATTTGATTCCATCCCAAAATAATAGTCTATTTTGGAGAATTTAATTTTTTTTAGTAATACAATTATTACATTTAAAAAAAAATTAATTTTCAAAATTATCCTTTGATAGTACAATACATTTTTTAGAAAATATCAATTATCATAATTATACTTTTTTATGTTGTTAATAAATTTAAAAAAAAAGAGAGAACAAAATAAGAAATTTATATTATTTTAGTCCTTAATTTTTAAGAAAAGACTTATATTTTGAGTGGGATGGAGAGAATAATAAAATTTAAGATGAACAAGTAATTTTTAAAAATCTTTTGATGAAATTTAATGAAAGATTGGAATAACCCATATCAAAACAAATTTTTACTCATTTAAAATCAAATAAAAAATTTAATAAATGATTGGAGATGGTGTATCTATTCTTCTTGTCAGATCAGCCGTTTCCAAAATTTTCATAACTCATTCTTTAATTAAATCCATTAATCAACTTTCATTCTCTTGAAATTCAAAATTCCCTCTCTGCAATCTATTTTTCTTTCCAAAATTTTCACAACTCATTCCTTAATTAAATTCATCAATCAACTTTCATTCTGTTGAAATTCAAAATTCTCTCTGGAATCTATTTTTCTTTCCAAAATTTTCATAACTAATTCCTTAATTAAATTCATTAATCAACCTTCATTCTCTCTTGAAATTCAAGGTTGCCTTTGATAGAACTTTCTAACTATGATTTGAGAGTAGGAATTGTATTTTGAGTTTGTGAGTTTTGAAATTAAGATTTGAGTGTGGAAAATTTGTTTGGTGAAAGAGTTTTGAAACGAGTTTTTGAATTGAGTGGGGAAATTTGATGTGGCATATGATATTTAATACAAAAACTTATAATTCATAATCAAAAATTCATTAATCAACCTTCATTCTCTCTTGAAATTCAAGGTTGCCTTTGATAGAACTTTCTAACTATGATTTGAGAGTAGGAATTGTATTTTGAGTTTGTGAGTTTTGAAATTAAGATTTGAGTGTGGAAAATTTGTTTGGTGAAAGAGTTTTGAAACAAGTTTTTGAATTGAGTGGGGAAATTTGATGTGGCATATGACATTTGATACAAAAACTTATAATTCATAATCAAACATACGACTCAAAATTCTATTAAAATACATAAAAAAATTTAAAAATTCAGAAATATATTTTTTGAATATATAATAATAACATATGTCAATTGCAAAAAAAATAAAAATAAATAAATAAATAAAAATTTATACTGTTCCAGTCAATTGGCCGAACGACTAGTTAATTCAAATTTTCCCACCTTTAGTAAAGCTTTCAAAGCTGAGTGTAGAATTAGCTTTGGAAACTATAAACAAACATCCCACGCAAATAAAGTGGTGGAATCACGGTTTGAAAACCATTCCAAACAGGGTCCAAAATTGTCTCTCCCCGCAATCTCTCTCTATCTCTCCATAAATACCTACCCCTCTCTTCCTTACCTTCCACATCCTACATTAACTCTCCCTCTCTCTCTCTCTCTCTCTACATAGAGGGTCTTTGGTTAGAATGGCAAAGGAAGTTGAGAAAACAGTAGTAACAGAGTAGGAGTTCTCAGCCAAGGACTACCACGACTAGCCTCCAGCTCCGCTAGTGGACGTGGTGGAGCTGACAAAATGGTCGTTCTACAGAGCTATCATTGCAGAGTTCATAGCCACACTTCTCTTCCTCTACATCACCGTCCTCATCGTCATCGGCTACAAAAGCCAGATTGACCCCATCAAGAACCCTGACGAGTGTGGTGGTGTCGGCATCCTCGGCATCGCATGGGCCTTCGGCGGCATGATCTTCGTCCTTGTTTACTGCACCGTCGGTATTTCTG